TTAATTTTTAGTAGAGACAGGATTTCACCATGTTGGCCAGGCTGGCCTCAAACTCTTGACCTCAAATGATTTCCCCAACTTGGCCTCCCAAAGTGCTGGGATTATAGGCATAAGCCACTGGGCCTGGCCGACTGCTTTCCTTATGAGAAGAGGAAGTGAGAAGCAGCGACACACACAGAGGACACAGACGCGCAGGGAAGATGGTCTCATGAAGGTGGAAGCCGGGATTGGAGTGATCCCTCTGTAAGCTAAGAAAGCCAAAGATTGCTGCCAATCACCAGAAGCTAGCAAGAGGCAAAGAGGGATCCTCCCTTGGAAACTTCGGAGGGAGCATGGCTGTGCTGATGCCTTGCTTTTAGATATCTAACCTCCAGAACCCTGAAGGGATAAAATTCTATTATTTTAAGTCACCTCATTTGTGGTAATTGGTTATGGCAGCCCTAGCAAACCAACACACCAGAGAAGCTGAGAAACCAGAAGTCAGGGTCCTGCTTCACTCTCCTGATTTTAAGGACAATAGTCCACAGCCACATTGTTGAGGTTAAGCAGGATAAAGACAGGGTGACTGAGGGCACGGGCTCTGGATTTCAAGTCCTGCCTCCTCTGCCTACTCTCTGGGTGACCTTGAGCAAATTACTCAATTGCTGTGTGTTTGGATTTCTTACCTGTAAGGTATTTGGGGATTAAATACTTAAATATTTAGAGCAGTGGTTGCTCTTACTCTTATTGTTGTTGGTGGCATCATTTGCTTGGATTTGGGATGGGAAATAAGATGTCTTAGATCTTCAGCACTGATCCTCCCTGCTTTAACAAGGCACGCCCTTGCCTCTGTGCAGCATTTACCCAACATTCCACAGCCATGCTCACACAAACATAGCCTTGATGAAGGCTACAGGGGCTTCTTGCCCAGATTAGGCACAAAGCTGATTAAACATGCATGTGCATCTCAGCTTCAGGTTTGCATGTGCCAGTGCAGGGCTCTGCTGCCTGAGAGCCATCTGTGATTTAGATGGCACCGGGTCCCCAGGGTCAACACACCAGGTCTGCTTTGAGATTGTTTGCTCCAGAAAAGGTGGTACA